ATTGTCAATATTTGTAAATTTTTAAAGTCCAATCAGTGGGAAAAAAATCTCCCTACAAAAAATGATCAATATGGGACCATGTTTCGGAGTAGCCCCCCTCCGGCATTTTAAAGGTTATGACTACATTTTCCCACCAAAGTAATTGTAATATTACATTGTGTGGTTTTGGAGGCTGGCATATATGCGTATAATTGTCAATCCAGTTCAAAGTTTGCACATAGCCCACATATAAATGTACCGCCCTATTTTCGGTACTTTGAAGGTTTAGCAGAATTCTCTGGTTTCATTTAGGGTAGGACATATTTATGCGGACAGTTTCCTACGAATGTCTATGTTTGGATATATCCCCCTATTAAATTTCCTATTTGCGTACTTTTAAGATTTTTGAACCTTTTTCTCACCGAAGTGGGAAGCAGACAATACCCCAGTCACCATATGAACCGACCATTTTTTAAGAATATTTTAATAGAAAGACTGGGTGGTGGCCCTTCTTCTCCTTCTTATTGTATAGCTCATTTCCATAATTAATATTGAGCCATGTTTTACTGTAGCTCCCATATAACTGTACCCCCCATTTTCGGTATTTTGGGGATTCGAGACACGTTTTTCAATTGGCTGTAATTAGGTATTTTGAATTCTCATTGTACAGTTCATGTCCATACCAAAAGTATGTTCAAGGTCCATCACTTACACGACTTTCAGTGGCAAAATAAAACTAAAAAAACCTTTAAATCAATTAAACACATTTACATTTGTTACAATTCTCCCTTAATACTTACATCTAAGTCTGTTTTTACACGGTAGATTGGTTCCAGAAGAAGCCGTGAAAAAAAGACATTGATCTTATACATAAAGGGAATTCCCCTAAATTAGTGCTATTCACATTTGCTTTGACCAGTAAAAATTTTTTGTACGCGCTAAAGGGGAATTCACTTAAATCGTTAAGCTAGTGTTCGCAAACTATCGATTCTATCGATGGTTTCAGAGTTTTTTCTTTCATAAATACTTTTTTGTGATATGAACATACTTCGCAAAAATTAAATTTGACAAAAAAATTTAAGTACATAATATTTCAAATCGTGATAAACGGAATAAAATCGTCTAAAAAAAATATTAAATTTCAAAACCGTGTAAAAACAGACATAGGTGTACTTTAGGAGTACTCCAGTGGTAAAAAGAGCTGAGTGTCTACGGTTTTTAATTGTTGAGAGGAGCGGTCATTCACGCGACTACATGACTTTTGACATCATTGCAAATAATGGGAAAACTCTACGAATTGTGTGAACATTTTGAACTTTAAAAAATCTTTACACCAAGCCATGTTATTGAATTTCTAAAATTGTCCTTTTTTGCGAAAGATTTTCTGGGTCACTCACGCGACATTTTTTATTTTCGTCGTTTTTATTTCTGCAGTGTGTGCATTTATAGTCATTAAATTAGTATTTATGCTTAGAACAATAAGAAAAAACGACAAATGTGGTCTTTCTTTGTACTTTTTGTCGTTACTTCACGTATTTGGTTTACTTTTTGCAGGAAATGACCATATAATATAATAATATTTATGGATGTTTTATTCAGCGACAACAGCAGGTACGCACGGTTTACTAGGTCAATTCACGATTTTTTGATATGTTGCATGGTGCAATTTTTATGAAATGCAGACAATTTTTATGAAATGCAGACAATACATATTAATTTCCTTCCAAAAATATCAAAACAACTTCAGCGACTATGTATTAAATGTCTTAATCTAGAGTTTTGTAATTTTCCAATTCACCTTTATGGAGGAATGTATTATTTAATAATAATTTGTAATATTACCGTTCTCTCTTAGTACATTTTTGTTATTTCAAGTCCTCTCGTTATACCAAATTATTGTGTTGCTCTCTTTCACCCATGTGCTCAGTTCTAGAGGTGGTACACAAAATGGTGTTGTGTTCTATTTAGTTTTGTTTAACACTAGACTTACGGAGTTAGCCAATTTAACTCATTTCAAATTTGATAACTAAATATATTTATAACTTTAAATGATTATGGTTATGCGGTTAACTTTTAAACCACTATTGAAATTTATTGGTCCATCAGGTTCATGTTTTACTTCAATGTTGTCTTGATTGAAGTATTGTGAACAATGTGGTCTGTTAAAAAGTATATACTAATTCAGTCCATAGATCATTCGATCTTTTAATAGTCAATACCAGTACCAGAACTACTTCTTCATTGGAATGGGGATTTGAACTGTTTTAAATGAAAACATATGTCAATTAACCGAATTTCGCATGCATATATATATATATATATATAGATGGCATAAATAATTTCTTACAGTTACGTTATTCTGCATATACGCCCAAAAACATTGGAGAAGGGCTTGGTTTAAATTGGTGTATGTACCAATAGAATCAATACGTATCTCTTGCATATACCAAATGTTGTGAAGGCTATCATATAGTCGGGTCCGTCCTACTTTTTTTTCGAACGTTCCCACGCCACTCACACCCGCCCCTGCCGACCGAGGGGGCCACCTCCCCATAACGTGGAGAGAACGTACACCCCATAGTCCGGACTATGGAGGGTTACTAGTGAAGGAAAATTACTGGCTACAGAATTAACATCAGCCAGTCTTATATTAGTTGTTAAACATAAACAAAAACACAATAGTTTTGACAAAACATGCAAACGGAAACATTACATACACAATTGTCTGGCAACTATACCACAATTATAGACGAATAATAGAATTTTTTATTACATGAATGGGGTCAGAAAATAATACTCTTTTATATAAATTATTATAAATTTCACATAATGCGCGAAGTGGATTAGTTAGTTCATAATTATGTCTAACTAGGGATAAGTTAAGAGGTAAATAATTACGTGTTTACGGGATGGAATATTAAATTTTATTTCACCGGTTAAAAAGTTTGAGTCAATTTGTCCACGTAACAATTTTATTATAAATATTGCTCTAAGCATTAATCGCCTTCTTTCTAGAGTTGGAAGATCAATTAGTTTCAGACGGTTAACGTACGGTGGAAGTGCTTCAAGTGGATTCCAAGGCAGACCCCTAAGAGCAAATAAATGAAACTGAGTTGGAACCGATTCTATTTTATTAGAATAATTTTTATAAAATGGACTCCAAAGTACAGAGCCGTATTCCAATAAGGCTAATGAATAGGTCAAAAAATTCCTTAGACCACCGTTTTATAAAACCAAGCAACGATTTAGCTTTATTAACAGATGATTCAATATGTAAATGAAAACGCAATATGGTATCTAAAATGATACCAATATCTGTAAACGAGTCTACAGAGTCAAGTTTATGAGAACCTATAAAGTAATCAATAGATATGGGCCTGGTCCTAGAAAGAGTTAATTTTTGCACTTCTTAAGGTTTAGCGACATACCATTAGAACTACACCAGTTTACGAATGAGTGTAGGTCATGTTGCAAATTTAATGAGGAGTTAAGTGTATTTAGACTACAAAAAAGTTTTACATCATCTGCAAACATTAAAATATTAGAAAATCGGATTACAGATTGAAGATCATTTAAGTAAAGGACAAAGAGTAATGGACCCAAGTGGCTAACATGAGGAACTCCAGATGAAACACTGATGTCATCTGAGAGAAGTGAATTGAAATGTACTTTTTGAGAACGTCCTTGTAAATAAGAGGAAATCCAGTTAAGAAGGATTGTTGGGAAACTCATAATATCAAGCTTATAAATTAATAAACTGTGTGCAACAGTATCGAACGCTTTACTGAAATCTGTATAAATTATATCAGTTTGCATTTTATTTATAAACCCATTGTGAGCGTGATACATAATCTCCATTAGGTTAGTCAATTTAGATCTCCCTCTTAAAAAGCCATGTTGGAAAGGAGATACTATAGATGAGACAAAGTGGGAAATTCTTCGAGAAACCAAAAGTTCAAATAAGTTTGGAATCGCACTCAATTTGGCGATGCCTCTATAATTTTCAATATTGCACCGACTACCAGTTTTGTGTAAAGGGATTATATAGCTAGATCTCGAGGGAAGAGGAAAATAACCAAGAGATAAGGAGAAGTTAGATAAATCTGTTAGAGGTAAGTACAATTCATAAGTATAGATGATGGAACGCCATCTGGACCAGCAGAATTAGAGGTTTTTAGTGATTTCAAGGCATTTAATACCTCAACCTCCGAAAGTAAAAAAAATTGGAAAATGGTTTATCTTATCCATATGGTAGTTATAATTAAAATTAAACGGAAAGTTTGAATAATTGTTCTTGAAAAATTTGGCAAACATATTTGCAATATCAGAGTTATTAGATGATCCCATACTACCAAGTTTCCTTTAGCTGCTTATAAGAATATAAGCACTAAAAAAAATAAGGAAATAGAACTCTAAACACTTTATCACCAAATTAACACTTAAATGCACAAACTAACACTTTTAACTTCTTTGCCAAATGACAAATTTACGAAAAAGTTGTAAATTTATTTAAATGACAAAGTATTAATTATTAAAATTCAATGAAATTTGAACACAGTATTGACACAACACAAAAACTCGACTTTACACAACAAGCGTTGCCAGATTTGTACCTTTCTTCAAAAATTAAATTGAGTCTTTGCTAATATAGTTTAAAATTTATATCAAATACATCTAACACCGTAATACCGAGTTTCTGTGATCAAATTTTGGATATTTACCCAAATATATAAAAATTGGCTGAAATTAGACATATATAACCAGAATTTTCAGTATGAAAAATTGAGATTAAGGTCTACGTTTTTTTTAGTTGGCAGTTGACTATATTTTACCCAAATATTTACCCACGGGTTTGAAGTATTATAAAAACTATCCAATTTGTAACGATTGGAAATAGGGTGTAAACTGTTATTTTGGCGTTTCAATTTACTGGTTTCATTTTTTTTATTTTCTCCATTTGGTTTCAATTATTCCCAGGGGATAACAAACGGCTGATATCGTCATACGTTTTCATTTTTCAGCACCATGTTTGGTTCCCTCAGTTGAAAATGGAAAATATTATAAAGTAGAACCGCATACAATAGAGCTTTCGGACAAGCCCTCTTTAACCCCTTTGTCGACATATGAAGAGATTCAATCAAATGAGTTCATTACATTGGAGTGCGAAGAAGGATATAAAATACAAGTGAGTTCAGTTTTGTTTTATACAATAGCACAATATGCAATCAAATATCATTTTAATAGGGGGCCGGACAGTTGAGATGTGGTCACGGAAGTTGGTCAGTTAACGCCTTCTCCAAATGTGTGTCCGTAGCCTGTACATTACCTAACATTCCAGGCTTAATATACGAGGTATTTTTTAATTAAAAATATGTATACAGTAAATAATTAACTCTTTATGCTCTAGGGGGGTTATAGGGCCGGTCTAACTATCGGACAGGATAGTTCAGTTAACGCTCGCTGCAATTACTCAACGAACACTTTACCTATTGAAATGACTTGCAGTAGGGGCACAATCAAACCCCAGAACATACAGTGCGAGTCTGGCATGCGAAAGTCTAGGGAAGAAATTGTCAAAATTACCGATGAATCTAACGAAAAGATCAGCAACACCAATGTTCTAGATACATCTGATATGGAAGAAAGTTCAAATTCGACGGATGATCAAAACGCAACAGAAGAATCGAAGATGTGTGGACCGCCAACTATAACTGATGGCGCTTTAATATATAAGTAAGTCTATTAAAATCATAGTAACGTGAAACACATCTATGCCTTGCTTCATACAGAAATAGTGACATGGACATCGAAGGAATATATGAAAGTGGCACTGAGATTTATTTCAATTGCATTCCAAGTGCCTCTGGTGAAAGAAACACGTGGAAAATTATTTGTGAAAATGGAGAATGGATAGGGCGGTCGTACAACTGTGGTAAGTTCACTATTCCATATCTGCATAGATATGTACGAAATCACTTATTTGTATTCGTTCTTTTTTATTCTCAAAAGCTAATGGAACCTGTTTATTCAAGAACAACGAACCTAATGTTGTTAGTTTCTACAACGACTTAGAAATTCGGGAAGACATCGTGGAATTTCCTCCCGGAGCTACAATAACTTCTCGGTATGTTATAAATATGAAAAACATGTGTACTTCACTCAATTTTACAGAAAGCGAAAGTATTCAATGCATCACGAATGATGTTGGAAATGTAATGTAATGGAGACAATATTAAAAAGGAAATTTTGTAACCTCAAACCACACTGTCTTCCCATAGCTAACTACTGACAGACCTGTTGCTTTATAAGAGGTCAACAAGGCCTCTTGTCGGCACTCCAAATGCTGCCGGCCAGCAACTTGAGCACCTTGTTGCTACTTCTCAGGTTATCACAAATATCAGTGGCTTATGCTTGTAGTATGCTGATCGTCATATATAGACCAGATATGCTTGTATGTAGATTCGTCTCTGGGCAAAGACGACACATATAGATATATGTTAAAACATCAAATTATCATGGATTATTAAAATAATTTATAACAGAAAACTATTTTGGAGAAATAAATCCGTGATTTATCGAATTATATGTTGGCTTTATGCAAATATAGTAGTAGTAGCTACAAAAGAACATCAGTTCCTATTAATCAACAAATCGTCATAGAAGTACAAAACACTCATTGAAGAGTTCAAGGGATGGTTAAAGTTTCATATAACCTAAGGAAGAGAGGTAGATGGGCTGTGGTAACACGTCTACATACCCGGAAACCGTCAAGAAAGCCATTAGTATGAGCTTTTGCTAAGGAAAAAGCTCATACTAATTGTAGTCCGACTGATTTTCTCGGATAAATTAAAGTTTAATATTTAAGGCTCAGATGTCAAGAGAAGGCCTCAGTATAGCAAGGATACTGGGAATCATGGAGGTGGTCAATAATGACACTGTGTATGGTATCATATAGCCGGCCCCGTAAAACTATCCGCTCACTGATTTTTTTAGGTTATTCATATACAAATAAAAAATTGTCAGTCAGCGTTACCCTTTAGCTGTGGTTTGCATAGATCTACGGAATTACACCCTAGTGTCAAGTTGGAAAACTTTTTTGTAAAATTTATAAATTAGAAAAATTATGAAAGTTTGCGGCGGAGGTACCACAGATGATGTACCTATATATCCGATATTTGTTCTAAATCTATATTTACACAGACTCACAAGATTTAGAAACACCGTAAAGTATGGTTATAGCTAACTAGTAGGACCAAGCAAATTAGTTTGTAATAGAAGACGTTCGTTATATCCAATGTAAAGCAAATCCTATGATTAGCAGAAAAAATATATTCAGTTCCGAAATGTGCAGTTTTTGTGCCCTTTTTGACCTTATCGTCGTCCGATAAGGTCAGATGATTTCACCCGAGCTGTAGGCCATCTCGAAATTCTGTCAATGCATGTGAGACAATAACGATTGCCAGCTGATGTCGACAGAGAACCGATCACATCGATGTTTATGTGTTGGAAACGTTTGTCTGTGGCCGCATACTGTTCCAACGGAGCAGTGGTATGACGTCCAATCTTCACCTTTTGGCAAGGTATACAGTTTCGCACGAAAGTTGCAACGCCTTTTCCAATGCCTGGCCAAACATACCGGTCCATTAATAAGCGTCGCATAGGACGAATACCAGGATGAGACAAATTGTGTAGCTTGCTAAGAACCAACCTCCGTTGACTTTGTGGAACGTACGGTCGAACATGTTGGCCGTTGACATTGCAATACAGGAATTTGTTGGTGTCTGGAACTTGCAACAAAGTTAATTTCAATTCTTACCTGGCTCCAAAAGAGACTTCAATTCGACAGTAAGGGTTAGCGTACCTTCTGGTGCCAAGTAGCGTAACAATGTTGCGTTTGCTATGTGAGACATGCATGCTTCAAACGCCTTTTCGGCTTCAGCAGACCAGATGACCTTTGTTGTGTCACACTTTTTATTACCACTTACCAACTGCTGTAAACATCCTGATGTTTTGTTGCGTGGTCTAAGACCTTCGCTCCTAATTGTATGACCTAAAAATTCTAGTTTGGTTTGACCAATTTTTTGCTGGCGTTTATGGTCAGGTTTCCTTTGCGTAAGCGGTCAAAGACTTCACACACGTGTTGCTCCTCGCTACTTGAAAAAACCAAAATATCGTCGATGTAGGCAAATGTACAATCCAAGCCTCGAAAAAGTTCGTCGATGTATCGCTGGAATGTTTGGGCTGCATTCCGCAGACTAAATGTCATTTATAGAATTTCCAGATTAAATGAAACCTTTTACAAATTAAATGAAACCTTTTCCAAATTAAACGAAACCTTTTCCAAATTAAATGAAACCTTTTGAAAATTAAATGAAACATTTTCCAATTGGAATGAAACCTTTTACAAATGGAATGAAACTTTTTACAAATGGAATGAAACTTTTTACAAATGGAATGAAACTTTTTGCAATTTGAATGAAACTTTTTCTAAATTAAATGAAACCTTTATTCTTATCCAAGGAAATATAAGAATAAGAATATTAACAAATATAGTTGTATGGCTATGTAATTAACATAAATATTCTTTAATTCGGTGTGATTTTATTTCATATCTTTACTACATAAAACTGAATAAATAGTAATACAAACTGGGGTATTTCTTGACATTTTAATAAATAAATATTTTAGAAGAAGAATTGGATACACAGTCCTAAATGCGAAATACATATTTAATTTAATAAATTGTAGATGATAAGGTAACTGCTTATCTTAATGAAGGGGTTCCCGACTTGCAGCTTGTGGGATTTTCAAAACCATGTCCATAACGTAGTTAGAACAATCTTGCCGAGTAAGCTGTAGAATACTTCGCTCGATTACATCAACAATGTTATGTTCCATTGAAACGTCACACAGCTCAGCTCTTGCGCATACTTTTATTTTTGAAAATGGATTTTCGATTGGATTTAGCATTGGAGAATAATAGTACGTTTACATTTTATCGGATTTCGTTAATTTCTTTGCATATATCTCAAATAAATTCTCAAAAAGTAGATTAACCCGGTAAAAACTTCTAATGTATTTGCCGTTTAAGGCGGTAAGAATTTAAGGTTGCATCTTTTGGATTCGACCAAATTTTTTATGTCATGTCGCTTGTGTATTTGAGCGTTATCCATTATCAAGAACTAATTTTCCAACTCTGGCTTGATTTTCTCCAAAAGATTTTCTATAAATAATTTAAATCTTTCTGCATTGACACTGGAATTAGAAATGATTATGTGATGTACAACTGCCGCGTTGTTTATTGCTGCAATTTGAGTGACATTACGACCTCTGACCGTAGGCAACACAATGTGTGCTCTTTTCCTTGTCTTGAACGGGCTTGGGTTCTTCGTAGGTGAAGATTAAATACACACTCATCAATGAATTTATTAAAATGTCAAGAAATACTCCAGTTTGTATTACTATTTATTTAGTTTTATATAGTAAAGATATTAAATAAAATCACACCGAATTAAATAATATTTATGTTAATTACATAGCCCTACAACTATATTTGTTAATATTCATTGATTTAATTTTCAAATATTGATTTAAAATTACTGGACATATTATATTTCCTTGGATAAGAATGAAGGTTTCATTTAATTTGGAAAAAGTTTTATTCCATTTGCAAAAAGTTTCATTCCATTTGTAAAAGGTTTCATTCCAATTGGAAAAGGTTGCATTTAATTTGCAAAAGGTTTCATTTAATTTGGAAAAGGTTTCGTTTAATTTGGAAAAGGTTTAATTTAATCTGGAAATGGTATACATAGACCGAAAGGTGTTGATATGGCAGTTATTGGTATGTCGTCTGGCTCTATCGGGATTTGGTGGTAGGCTCGCTGTAGGTCAATGGCTGAAAAAAACCGTTTACCATGCGGAATGTTTGCAAAGTCGTGATGAAATGGGATTGCATACCGACCCGGTATAGTCTGTGCGTTGAGTGCCCGGTAATCTCTACACGGCCTCCACTCACCATTCTCTTTCTTTACAAGATGTAGTGGGATCGCCCATTGTCTTTTCGACGGTCTGTAACAGCAACGTACACACGATTTCATTTCGGGGGGGCCCGGTAGTACAAAATGAAAAAATTCGCTGTTGCAGACATAAATTTACTGTGAAAAAATTTCATTTCGGGAGGCCCCGGGCCGCCCCCCTGCGTACGTCCTTGGCCTGTAAATACCCTTCTCCATCAGGAACTGAAACTCTTTCTTCGCGACTTCCAGTCGTTCTCCTACCAGTCGTCGTGGTCTAGCAAACACTGGTGCACCTGAAGTTGTGATGAAATGTGTAGTTTTCGATTCTATGGGATTTCTATTAGAATTCAACACGGTTAAATCTCCATGGCTTAAGTCTAGTTTAGGGGCTCCACCCGGATCGCTTTGAAATTTTTGCCGTAAGTAGTCCTCGTTGTGCTGATTACAGTGATATATATTTTATGTGAGGAAATGCATACTTCCCGAGATATGGGCCTTGAAAGTTTGGAATATACCTTGGTTAAAACGGCCGTTTTACTAATGCCACCAACGCAATATGGGGATCATTTTAAAGGGTTTGAATAGTGCTTAAAAAATAAATAAAGTATATCATTGTAAATTATATAATATTAACTAAAATTGAAATAAAAAACATTTGGATTGCGTAGCCATGTATGCGCCTGTCCATAGGTGAAAGTCTTAAGCCCCGGCCGAAGGCCGGCTACTTAGAAAACTTTGAATTTGATTTGAAAATTGCTCTTAAAAAAGGATTTGGATTGCGTAGCCATGTATGCGCCTGTCCATAGGTGAAAGTCTTAAGCCCCGGCCGAAGGCCGGCTACTTAAAAAACCTTGAATTTGATTTGAAAATTGCTCTTAAAAAAGGATTTAGATTGCGTAGCCATGTATGCGTCTGTCCATAGGTGAAAGTTTTAAGCCCCGGCCGAAGGCCGGCTACTTAAAAAACTTGAATTTGATTTGAAAATTGCTCTAAAAAAAGGTTTTGGATTGCGTAGCCATGTATGCGCCTGTCCATAGGTGAAAGACTTAAGCACCGGCCGAAGGCCGGCTACATAAAAAACCTTAAATTTGATTTGAAAATTGCTCTTAAAAAGGATTTGGATTGCGTAGCCATGTATGCGCCTGTCCATAGGTGAAAGTCTTAAGCCCCGGCCGAAGGCCTGCTACTTAAAAAAAACCTAAATTTGATTTGGAAATTGCTCTTAAAAAAGGATTTGGATTGCGTAGCCATGTATGCGTCTGTCCATAGTTGAAAGTCTTAAGCCCCGGCCGAAGGCCGGCTACTTAAAAAACCTTAAATTTGATTTGAAAATTGCTCTTAAAAAAGGATTTGTATTGGGTAGCCATGTGTGCGCCTGTCCATAGATGAAAGTCTTAAGCCCCGGCCGAAGGCCGGCTACTTAAAAAAACCTAAATTTGATTTGGAAATTGCTCTTAAAAAAGGATTTGGATTGCGTAGCCATGTATGCGCCTGTCCATAGGTGAAAGTCTTAAGCCCCGGCCGAAGGCCGTCTACTTAAATAACCTTAAATTTGATTTGAAAATTGCTCTTAAAAAAGGATTTGGATTGCGTAGCCATGTATGCGCATTCGTTGTAAGCTTTAAAATGATACCCATATTGCCTTTGTGACATTACTAAAACGGCCGTTTTAATCAAGATATGCTCCGAACTTTCAAGGCCCATATCTCGGGAAGTATACATTTCCCCCACATAAAAGCGATCCGAGTGGAGCCCCTAAACTAGACTTGTTCCATTCCCTTTACTTTCTGACATTGTTTTGAGATCAAGTAATTTACCTCTTTTCATGTCAACAAGCAAATCATATGTTTTCAAAAAATCAGAGCCAATGATTGCACAATTGAGGTCAGCAACATAAAAATTCCATACAAAATTCCGGCGCAAACCAAGTGACAGATGTAATCGCCGTTGCCCATATGTTCTGATGGATGACCCGTTTGCTGCATAGAAGTTTGTAGACATATGTTTTTTGCGTTTGTCGGCTGTAGTGGGTGGAATTACTGATAAGTCTGCGCCGGTATCTATTAAAAACTTGATGCATGTGTTGTTGTCGCAAATGATGAGGCGAGCAATTTGAAGAAAATCTTTGTCAGTACCGCCCGAGGAGTCTGACAATTGTACTAGTTTTTTGCATGGTTGGTTGAAAAAGTACAAGGGGGTCGGCACTTCTGAGCGTTGTTACCAAATGTCTTATGATACCAACATTGTTGTGGGAATTCATCAGTACATTTTTCTGCGGATCGTCCATCCGTGTTTTTGACCTGCGGTTATTGGATCTGCTGCGATAACGTCTCCCGCCAAATTTCACAAGTTTGTTCAATTGGTCTTCGATTCGCTGATTACGAACCTTCAAATCACCATCAGCTAGATTGTGTGCAACGGCAGCCACATGCCGATACCCGGATACTTCAATAATTTTGTCTGCTAGCTTTGCCAACTCGGGTAGCTCCGCATTTGAATTAATTTTACATTTTGCCAAACTCTTGAGTTCGTTCAGCAGTTGTGAAGGCCGCTTGTCACCCAAATCGATTTCAGAAATCAATTTCTGTATTTTCTTCTTCTATCGCAGTACCGCTCGATGATGCATGACTAGGTGGTTGTAGTTATCTGTTTCTGGGGGATTAATAATGGCATCGGATATCTGGGTTAAAACTCCACTTTCGACAGCTGCAACGACTGTAATGAACTTGGATAAGTCGCCGTTTTTGCCGGCAATGCCAAATTGAGCATCGATTTGGATAAACCATACTGCTTCGGCCAGAAAGGTGGTACTTTGACGGCTACTCTGTTCACGATGGTGTTGTGTTCCGGCGACGACGATAAATTATGGGATTGCGGAATTGTATTCCCTTGCGCTGCTGTGCCATTCCCTTCCATTGTATTGAAAGTTTATTAGTAGTCGGGGTCACCAATTGTGTTTACACTTTTGCCGGCAATGCCAAATTGAGCATCGATTTGGATAAACCATACTGCTTCGGCCAGAAAGGTGGTACTTTGACGGCTACTCTGTTCACGATGGTGTTGTGTTCCGGCGACGACGATAAATTATGGGATTGCGGAATTGTATTCCCTTGCGCTGCTGTGCCATTCCCTTCCATTGTATTGAAAGTTTATTAGTAGTCGGGGTCACCAATTGTGTAAACAGAGTTGAGGTTAGGTCGATGATACTTAAAACCTATAAATGAAACACATTGTTTCTTCAACTCTCTGATACCTACTAGGTCGAATCTCCATGTTATATATTACAATGAGCATATTACAATATGTAGTTGTGCGTTATAGCACTAACATATATACATTATATATATTATTTCATCGTTGCAACGATGAAATAATATATATAATGTTGTAACAAAGAGTATTAATAAAGATAAATTTAACAGTAAGTATAATTTGAAATACTGATATTATTATAAGAGGCCACAAACTCATTAACTGGCGAACCACTTAATGTTCGCTTCAGTAGTTAATAAGTTTATACACATTTTTTGGGTAAATACTCGGTTATTTACCAAAGTATTTACCCACGTCTTCAAAGTAACGTAAAACCAAGGTGTATTTAATAAGGTGTATGCATCAGCTACAACAACTAACATTTTACAAAAACAACATTGCTGTTATAGAAATTAAATTGTCATGTTGACAATTAGTTTTTGGCAAAAATAACCAAAAAGAGTTATCCATTTATTTTTTAATTTTAATAATTAACCATTAATTTTTTATTTTCGACATGTATTATGTGTCAAATTATGAGTTTCGAAATCGAAACTCATAATTTGACCCCTGAATTGAGTTTTCGTGTGACATTAGTATTGCTTTTTACCAACAAATGTCTATGTGATTGTTGATTTCGATTGTTGTACAGCAACACTTCCTCTTATTAAAGCGACATTCCAACTTTCATTTGTGTACCTATTTAACTTTGAATGTATATATAAAAAAACGGTATATTTTTAGGTGTACTGATATTGGAAAATTTGAACTAGTTGGAAGCATTGAACGCACATGTATTCATTCAGAATGGACAGGAGTAAAACCTCAATGTTTTGGCCTTAACCAGGAAAATGACTATGCGAGTAAGTATAGAAAATTTATATTTTGCAAAACTAAATTTATATAATTATTAATTCAAAGACATTAATATATTTTCAGTGGAAAAGGCCCCAACAATACTATTTCGACGACATAATGGTCCCATTGCCCAAAGCAATGATGGTAAACTTATTGTATATCCCGGAACAACTTTGCATATGGAATGTTTATGGATGCGTCGTTTCGGTAATCCGAAATGGTCAGTTAGCCACGATTACAAGTATGTTAACGCCAAATATCTCCTTCCTCTTATTTCACGTTAATATATTTGTTATAGAAATTATTCCGAAGGCTGGGTAACTGAAGAGGGTCGTGATCCTACGCTTGAATACCGTCTTACAATAGCAGATGCGCAGACCGATGATTCTGGTATATATTCTTGTGAAACCCCAGCCAGACACAAACATTCTGTTGAAATTGTGGTCAAAAGTATTAACTGTCCCGAAATACCAACACGACGTGGCCTTATTGTAAGCACGAATGAAACAAAACTCAGCGTACGAGTTTTGCTTTCTTGTTCCAATGGGAATTCTTTGATCGGATCATCTGAACTATTTTGCCTTCCAAGTGGTAATTGGAGCGCTCCATTACCAGTGTGTGAAAGCGTTGAATGCGGTGATATTCCACTACCCAATAACATAACATCGCCACGAGTATCGGTTCTTTCCCGTGAAGTTGGTGGGCGCGCTGCATTTTCATGCCCGTCAGGATATGGTTTAAGAGGACCCTCAGAGTCAATATGTATGCCATCCGGTGAGTGGGCAACGCCGTTCCCAACGTGTGTTGAAGTGCAATGCGAAAATCCAGGAGCTCCACAAAATGGCTACGCCCAAGGCACGCCACCGTATAGAGCTGGGGATGTAGTTCAATTTAATTGCAATCCCGAATATATGATGCAGGGTCAACCCATTATCGCATGTCAAGACAATGGACGATGGTCTGGAGGTCTTCCTAAATGCGTTCAAGCATGTTCATATCCCGGCACTGCTATTAGCGGACATATGTCATCAGTTCAATTTTATTATGCCATTGGAGAAAGCATTACGTTTACATGCGATGCTGGCCTTGAGTTGCGTGGTCCCAAAATGGTGAAATGTTTAAAAAATGGCAAATGGTCAGGAGCTATTCCTCAGTGTGTGGCACTTGATTAGATAAATATCAAATTAACATATTTTATCCGAATTCAATAAAATATTTAAATTTTAACTCTAATTCTGGGTTTTATATTTACTTGATTTATTTGGTTTGTTTTATCGCAATGGGGGAAATCGATTTCCACTAAAATTATTCAATTTGTTAGTTTTTAAGATTGCCAAAGATGATGCACAATTGGAATATACCATCACTTGCCACCGGACCTCCAATTTAAGGATAATGATTTTTTGGATATTTGGCAACTTCGGCTAATTCTGATGTAGGCATTTACCTATGACACCTATAACTAATAAAACAAGTTTCCGACATACAAACCTTAAAATGATTTGTCAGCGGGGGGATATGAAGGCTCTAAGAGAAAACTAAAGTCTTGCCCCAGAATCTAATCTATACTATATAATATTGAAAAAAATAATTTGTGTGTAATAATTTGTCAGCCTGCTAAACTAAAACTAAACAGTTAGTGTTCATAAAAAATGATCTGCTCGGCTTCATTCTTTTTATTTTATGATCACTTCACATTTATGCATTTCATAAGTGATGTTCAAGTGGTTTTATGATAAGTGGCTAATGCAGTCACAAGATCTGTGTGTGTGCGCTGATAATAAAGAGTCAATAGAAATCCACACACAAAGATATTAGATGTAAACAAATGAACGCAACCCTCATGTGCACTGTAAGAATTGATAGATGTTATGTGTTTAAGATTGGGCTAAGTTAGATTAGTTTATGTAGTACTTAAGTCAGAATATTTCATAAATAAATTAGAGTTGAAACTACAATCGAACTATAAGGTTGGTTTCAACATCTCACTTCTCTTAACATTCAGTGTTCCGGTACACATAGATTAAAAAATAGTTTAGTGTTACTACGGAGCGCAACGAAATTCGTAGTGTACCGCTGTCGGAACACTAAAAATCGTATTTTGCCGCGGTCGGAGCATAGTTGGTTTGTGATCTGAAAATTAATTATTTTGTTCGACAATGCCTACTTGTATAAGATACACACATACCCTGTACAACAGTGTGGTGAAGGGTATAAAAGGTTGTCTAGTGAAAATTCAATCTGATGCTAACTCGTAATTGAAAATTCCATTGGTTTGCATTTTGGCTGTTAAACGATTGCGCTGATCGGAAAAAATTTCTTGCATTGGTGAAAACAACAAATAATTTCCATAAGTCAACGAAAATCATAAAACTGAAGAATATTCAAAATATGGATATATGAAAGTATATTCTGGGAATCATGGTACCTGTATGTGGTTTTGTAATATGTATCCCAAAATCATAAAACTATTTATTTCGGAATATAGGTGTAATTTGTACACTTGCATTCATGAATGAACAGCCAATTATATTATTCTACCCATAATTCTGATATTTATTACTTAGGTGGCTTGATACAGAACGGTTGTTCCAAAAGCCGAGCTTAAAAAAAGATTTCCAAGCGCTTCGGTCTTGTGCGCATCTCCTCCAATTTGAAAGACCACGTTCCAAGATGTTGTTTTCTACTTGGTCTCTCCATCTAATTCGTTGCCTTCCCCTTCTGCGGGAACCATCAGCAGGCTCACTTTTATATGCCTTTTGAGCTAGGCCATTCCCATTCTTTCGCACAACATGGCCTAGCCACCGTAGTCGCTGCAGCTCAATACGACTGACTATGTCCATCTCCGCGTATAAATTGTAAAGTTCGTGGTTCATTCGACGCCGATATTCACCGCCGACGCAGATCGGCCCGTAAATCTTTCGGAGAATTTTTCTTTCAAACACCTTAAGAGCTGCCTCATCTGCTTGCGCAAGTACCCATGCTTCAGATCCATATAACAGCACGGGTAGTATCAGCGTCTTGTAAAGTGTGAGTTTGGTCTGGCGGGAGGTGGCCCTGTTTCTAAACTGCTTACTTAGACCATAGTTACATCTGTTAGTCATCACAATCCTTCTCCGAATTTCAAAACTGATGTCATTCGTTGTATTAATGGCGGTACCAAGGTATATAAAATCTTTAACTAACTCGAAGCTGTAGTTCTCAAGTTCCACAGTTGGTCCAAGTCTACTGGACGTCTTGCGCGTTGATACCATCAGCTTGGTCTTCTCGCCGTTTACTGGCAAACTCACTTTGGCAGACTCTCTCAATTTATTCAAACGTGGCTGTTACCGCTCGCAATGTGCGACCCTTTATATCGATGTCATTGGCGTAGGCGAGTAACCTGTATTGTTTGGTGTACAGAGTGCCATTTCTGTTTACCTTTGCATCTCGTATGACCTTTTCCAGCAGGATGTAAAAAAGATCACACGACAAATTGTCACCTTGCCTGAATCCTCGTTCGATATTGAAGGGATCCGATAGGCCCTTTCCGACTTTAACTGATGACCTTGTGCCACTTAATGTTATCGTGCATAGCCGTATTAATTTTGCAGGAGTGCCAAACGTAGACATGGCTTTAAACACCTCTGAACGGATAGGGCTGTCGAATGCGGCTTTATAGTCGACGAATAGGTTGTTGTTGTAGCAGTTTTTAAGATTTGTATATTTTCTGTTTAAATTTCCTCCATTTCTGTCTCCAGATTTCTGTCTGGCTGTAACCACAGATCTTCCAGAGTAAGGTGAGTAGATTTGGCTGGGCAATTGAATAAGTACAGTGTGGTATGAGGGCCCGTACCACATGCTGGGCAAACATCCTTCACCTGGTCATCAATCCGTACCCAATACGAATTGAGCCGACTACACCGTCCAGAACGTAACTGGGCCAAACTACTCTGGTTTGTCTGGGCAGCTGACGTTCTTCAGCTGCTATGAGCTCAGAGGACGGCATTTACTTTGTATCCGTTCAGCGCTGCGGCTACTGCATCTGTATGAATGGCATTCACACCTGCTCGATAGGCAACTTGATCTAGAGGCTCCCTTTTGTATCGTTGGACCTCTCTCTCTAGATCATGCAGATCCTTCCTGACACGCCTGATTGGGGGAGTCCTATCCACCATATGATGGTTGGGATGATTGTCCCTGAAACACTCGAGCAGGTACTGCAACTCTGACGTAAGGGAAGGATCTTCGTCTCCTCATGAAGATGGTCCACTGGTGTCATGAGAAGGCACCCTGTCGCAGTCCTCAGGGCGGCATTCTGACAGGTCTGAATACTTCTCCATTGCGTATCACTGGAATTCGCAGACCACACTGGAACCGCAAAGCTAGCCACAGACCGACCTATCGCTTTGTAAGAGGTCAACAAGGTTTCCTTATCTGCGCCCCAAGTGCTGCCGGAAAGCGACTTGAGGACCTTGTTCCTACTTTCAACTTATAGCAGATATCTGTGGTTTGCGCGGACGATTTGAACATACTGTCGAATGTGACCCCGAGTATTTTGGGGTAGTCGGTGGCCGGAATTGTATGCCCCTCGACCTGGCACATTCAACGGCATTCTCATCTCCTCAGTCCATGTGGTAAATAGTGTGGCTGACGATGAGATAGGAGTTCAACCTCACACATATGGCCTCAACAATGGGACACGACGCCATGATCGCACAATCATCTGCATATGTAACGATTTCTATGCCGTCCGGAGGGCTTGGAATACCAGAAAGGTAGAGGTTAAACAGTTCCGGAGAAATCACTCCACCCTATGGAACTCCCAGTTTAACTCTACGGGGGTTGGACTTTTTGTTCCGGAACACCACTTACGACTGTCGTCCACACATATAATTGATTATCCAACGTTTCAAACTCGGCCAGAGGGAAGTGCTCTCAATGTCCTTAACAGCGTGGCATGGTTGACAGTATCAAAGGCCTTTGATAGGTCAAGCGCTACCAACACTGTTCTATCGCACGGCCGGTTCTGGTTAAGTCCTCTACTTATATGCGTGGAAATGGCATGCAACGCTGTTGTACTGTGTTACTTACGGATTCCATGTTGATGATCCGCAACTGGATAGCTTTCTCTAATGCTGGGGAGGAGTAAAGCCTCAAGGGTCTTCGCTACTGGCGACAAAAGTGAAATCGGCCTGTAAGATTCACCTTTGCTGTCATCCTTTCCCGGCTTCAGTAGCGGGACCACCCTACCCATTGTCCAGGCTTCGGGGACGACGTGGGTGGCTATCGACAGGTTGAGAACGTTGGTCAAGTACTCGACTCCTGGCTCGTCCAGCTGCTTCAGCATACACATAGATATTCCATCAGGGCCCAACGCTTTAGATGACTTCGCGTTACGGATGACACATGCAACATCACCCATCGTAAACTGTGGTGGTACCTCCTGGGCTGGAAGAGATCTTATACGACGAAGTACTCTTCTCTTCGCCCTGTCGCTCTCAGATGCTCGACGAACTGTCGGTTAAAATAACTAGCGCATCTCTTCGGATCAGTCACAGTTTCGTAGTTAAATGTGACTGAGGTCCTATCATCCTTCTTACCAGGGTTCGAGAGCGACTTAACCGTTGCCCACCGTTTACTTACTCCGGTACCAATGTTGCAACTCTTCAGGTGCTCCAACCATTTATTCCTCTTGTGTTCCGCGACTAATCTGCTGACCTCCAACGTAAGTTCCCTGACCCTGGGATCTGCTGGGTTAGATCGACGGAGCTCATCACGCTCGTTTGCTAGACCAACTGCTTTTGCTGGGAAATGAGGTCTCATTTCGGGTATTCGACCAGCAGGTATAAATCTAGCAGCTGTGATGATGCCTCGGAATTTCCTTTCTGCTACCCGTACTTCAGAAGGAATGGAAAGTTATCTGAAGGTTGGTGAACTCTCTGAATCCTTGCCAGTTGGCTTTCCTATGGTTAAGGAAAGTGCGGCGTTCAGAGATGACGAACTCCGGCGGTCTGCTAATGGAGAAGATTATGGGAAGGTGGTCTGAGCCAAGAGAAATGACGGGCTGTCAGCTGACGTCATTTATCATACCTGGTGACACAATGGTTATATCTGGCGAACTGTGACAATCTCCCCTTATTCTGGTGGGGGCATCCTCATTTACCGCGCATAACGTGGAGCTATCAATTTG